ACACATGATACATTTTCCACCTAAAAGTCTGAACTTCAACACGTAGTCAAGGGAACCGGTTAGATTAGAACTGGAAAACGATGCCCCTGATTGCAAGGCAGCGGAAGTTTTAGAAAAATATTTTCTTGTAGAAACACCAATGCGAAATCCCCGCCCTGCTTCCCCTCAGAGGAGAGCAGCTCCTCCAGGAGCTCCGCGACCCTCTCGAGCTGGTCCTGCTGGCCGGGCTGAGGCCAGTGAGAACGGCTCGGCCTGCGCAGGGGCCGCGGCTCGCCTCCCCCCGAAAGTACGGGCTTCCTTCTCCAACGTGGCTGCTTCTCCTCTGCTAGCCCAGGTTTTGCAGACCCGGCTGGTCAATTAGCTAACTAAAATTAAAATTAATGAAGATTTCATCAGACTAAGAGGGGTGACAAGGAGGTGTCTGACAATCACACACAACCCGAAGACAGCCCTGAAGGCATCTTGTAGTGTGAACCCTCTAATGCAGGGTTTCTCAACCGTGGCCGCTTTAAGACGTGTGGACTTCAACTCCCAGAATTCCCCAGCCAGCAGATGCCTGCTGGGGAATTCTGGGAGTTGAAGTCCACACGTCTCAAAGCGGCCAAGGTTGAGAAACCCTGATGTAATGTGTGAAAAGGTGTCCAAAAGGCTCCTCCCAAGCAAATTCTGCACCACCATCCACGGGGCCTCTTCCACCCCTCCAGCACGTTTGGGGCAGGCTGCCTTAGAAGGCAGGCCTGCCCCGAGGCAGTCCAAGAAAGGGGGCCCCTCCCCACGATGGCGTCACCGTCCAAAAAAGTCCAATTGCCCCTGCCAACTCCTCGTCTGCCGAAAGTCTCTGGCAGGTGCCCTGCTTGCCTCGAGGCACCGAGTCACGACGGACCCCCTTGTGCTTGAGTGCAACACCTGTCCAGCCCCCCCCCCACGAGGGAGCCAGGATGCGCCTGGATGCTGCCCGTGCACCGGCTGAGAGGAGCAGGGACAGGCACAGCCAAGCGGACCCGGGAGTGGCCTCTGTGGGTTTTGAGGGGTGCGGATGAACTTGAAGCCTCCAAATCTCTTCCAAGGAAAAAACCCTGTGCCCCCGATGATCGAAAGTTTGGAAACAACGGATCCGAGAGTTCACTCTCCTAAAGCTATTGCATTTCTCCAGCCTTCATTGACCTGGATAACCTAATTCCAAAGGTGTGCATTAGAAGCAGGCTGCTTCCCAGCAGTTTTAACCCTTTCTTTCCTGCCTGGCTTAAAGTGATTGCTCGGGAGGAAATCAAGGCTTCATCGTGTGGGCCATCTCCTCTCTTTCGCCACGCTGATACCCAAAGGCACTCTCCTCTCCCAGGTAGGACTAACTGTAGAAACGGCACACGGCAGACCACCATCCGACCGAGCCCGGCCCTCCACCGCCATCCCACCCTGGAAGCCATCTCTGATTCCCTTAATCTCACACAGAGCCAGCGAGTGCCTGAGTCCCTCGATCAGGTTTTGGCTACCACTGAGGGGCTCCTATTTTTTAGTGGCCCTTGGAAGATCCTCAGGGGCCTTTTCGTACTGCATAATGTTGCGAGAACGGATGCCTACAAAATCCTAAAGCTATTTTTCAGGCAGTTGATAATAAGCCCCCTCCCCCTCCCCATGCCTCCCCCTCCCCCCTCCCTCATTTGCCACCGCCCTCCCTCCATCA